CTCCTCACTCCTACCCTTAGCACTGCCTTTTAGGCGACAGCTCAGCCATGAAGCCTCAAAATGCAAAACTCAGACCCCAAAACAGGAGCATCCCCCTGTGCAACAACGAGGACAGGCACCTTCTGGCCAAAACCACTCCACAGCGAGCATTTGCAGCCTCCACCAGGACCATGGCCATAAAGCGCTTTCATTTTCCCGCTGAGCATCTCCATCCGGACACATGTGCCAAAGGCTGCCAGCAAGCTCATCACCATAGTGGGTAGATACCTGTGTATAATCGAGCTGTGGATGCTCAGCATCCACTAATGAACCCAACTGAATCCCATCCCCATCCCTTGCTATCGACACTAAAAAACGAAACCATGCCTTTTATGAAGTTTTAAGGTATTTGACATCCCAATAACAAATTACTGTGGGCTCGGCGTGGCATTCGCATTGCAGCTCGGGAGGTTTCCCTTCACACGAACAGGCCCAAAAAGGGCTGCTGAACTATGGCTTTTTTGCCTGCAATTAGAAGCGGCGATCGATGCTAACATTAGATTAAGTTTGAACTTTGCTGAACCTAAAAGGAAATCTTTTATAAAAAAAATTAAAGAGTTGCCGACTCAATATACACTCGATTACTCAAAATCATAAACTCGGAGAGGAAGAAAACAGGGACCATGCAGCAACCAGTGGGTTCAGGGACCTGAGAGCCCCGGTGAGAACCAGTGCTGTGGCTTGCAGCCACTTGGCCACCAAAAGGTCACGCTTCAGCCCTCTCGACTCATGCACATGCTGTGCCATGGCACAGACGATGCTGCCACGAGCCAAGGGTGGCTGTGGAGCCGCGCTCCTGCATGGCGACGGGGCAGATCATGTCCCTCAGGTCCCCTCCATCACTGGGGCGAGCACTCCCCATGCTCGCCAAAGCTGGTGAAAGGCCAGCTCAGCCCCCTGCTCCCCTCATTCCTGTGTGCACTTCCCATACCAGCAAAGAGGGAACAGCACTCAGAAGGCTCTGAGACTCTAAACATATATATTTACCCTTATCTAGGCATGTGTGTCTGTAAACAAACAGACCCACCATATGTATACGCTCGCCTGCGCGATGTAAACAGGCACGGTGCACGTCGGCTCATTGAGCTCAGTGCCGAGAGCGGCAGCAGCTCGGGGGGGCTCTGCCTGCTACCTGCTGGGGCTCAGCACATGGGAGCAGGGCACCGGGCGGCGAGCATCCCGTGGTGCTGCGTGGTCCTCACCCCGGCAGCTGGGAACGGCTCAGCTCTGGGCACCTCGCGCTCCCTCAGCATCGCAAAGCAAAACCACAGCAGCGAATGCACAGCAGAAGGAGGTCAGCGAAAGCTGCCGCTCGATGAGCGACACCGCAGTGTCCCCAGCACATCCTGTCCCCACTGCCAGCCACACCAAGGAGGGGGTGCCAGGGCCTTGGTGCAGCACAGAGGTTCCCCCAGAGCACCTCTCCACCAGGCACTGGGGTGAGCAGGGGCCTGTAGCCAGCACGGTGCAGCTGCTGCCACCACCAGAACCGCTCCAGCAGGGAGTTACAGATCCCAGTCCAGCTCAGAAGCTGTTTAACAGCTCCAGGAACACAATAGGATCCCACAAATCCTCCCCAAATGGTAATTTTCACAACGTATTAGAAAGCAAACACTATGAAAAAGCCACATGAGACCCCATCCGCACACAGACTGCCTGGATTTAGACCTGGGGGGAGGACAGGGGGAGTGATCTCATCTCACCATTGCCCAATGCCTTTCAACATGGACGTTCTTAGGGATCAGTTTAAAAATGGCTCAAAGGATTTGGCTCTCCCTGCAAAGTTGGCCAGCGCCAGGTTATCTGCGACAGCAGGAACGGGCGAGCGGAGCTGGGCTCTGGCTGAAGCAGTTGCCTTCGAGGCTCTGCTCAGCGCGGCGCTGGGGTCAGCCCATGGGGGCACGGTGCGTACCCGGCCTCCTGGTAACCATCAGGAATAAACAAGAAATAAGCTGTGGCCGAGGCCGTACTTGTCAAAACGAGCCAAGCCCAGGGGGCACTGACACAGGGGCTGCTGCACTGCACAGCCTGGGCCGTGCCCCCCATCTCCCAACCCTTGCATGCGTGGGGAAGGATCCAACCTTCCAGCCCACCCTGCCTCGGAGCAGACCCCTGCAGCTGCATCGGTCGCTGCTCTCCGGCTCGGAGGGGAAAGGGAGATGCTCGAGCCTGTGGCAGAAAGGCACGTTAAAATTCTCCCTGAGCCCTCACTGCAGCTCTCCTCCGGTGACGTTCGGTCTGCATCACCGCACGGCACGGCCGGCCAAGAGCTGCACCGGGGCAGCTCTGTGCACACGAACCGGCCCCAGCACCAGCACCAGCACCCTGCTCACGAGGTGAGGGAACAAAGCAGAAAGGAGCTGAGCACCCACAGGGAGCTGGGGACCCCTGCGAGGGGCCAGGGCTGCTCCCACGGTGTGCACGGCAGCTCCAGACTGAGGAGCGATGCTGCCGGCGCACAGCAGCTGTGCCCCACACTGCAAACATCATGGGCTGAACACGCGGGGAGCTGCTGCTCTGGCACCCGACACCGGCTCCGGCGCATCCTGCCCCGCACACGGGCAGCGTGCAGCACCGCCATCCCCGGAGCGCGTTATGTGCATGGGAACCAATTAACCTGTTGATTCATTAAAAACCTGACAGGGTGCAGAGCAAGGGGAGGCTGCGAGCGGCTCCGGCACCGCACGGTGCTGCCGTTCTCCGGGCAGAACACTGCTGTCCTGCTGCGGGGCTGCAGCCAGCACTGCACGGTGCTCACTAAAGCATGCCCAGCACCAAGGGGGCTGACCAGCGATGCTGATTTAGGTGCTGTGATCAACGTGGCTCCGTTCCCCAGGCAAATCTGGGAAGGAGCTCCAGCCCCTGCTGCCGCTATCAGGAGGCAGCAAAGAGGAGAGCACTGAACTCACACGCCACCGACAGCCACCACTGCGCTCCCACCCGGAGCAGGTCCTGAGGTGTGGGTGAGCACAAAGACCCCCCCACCCCAAGCAGGGGAGCCCAGAAATCACACCCACAGGCACTGGAGGTTCAACGCTGAGCCAGTGCCTGCAGTGCCGGACCCACTGCGCTCGCCCAGCGCTGCCCAGCCTGACCCACACACTACTTCGTGCAAAGTGCAAACACCCCCTGAACAGAGCAGCACGGAACCGCAAGGAACGGGGCGCTGCACGCAGCCATCCCGAACGTCACCGCTGCAGCCAGGCACAGGGATCCCATCGGTCTCTCCCTCCCAGCCCCGCACAGATGCAATGGTGATGGCGCAGGAGGGATCGGCTCTCGGTAGCGGGTGGGCGAGGGCTGCCCAACCCCACAGCATCCCTTCACACACAGATCCCCGAACTCAAAGGGCAGCAACATGAACCATTCAGCAGATGCTGGCCAGGGAAACCATTGGGGTTCATACTAGTGGGAAACACCTACAGCAAAGCCCCATCCAGGCTGCCCCCCTGACCAGTGCTTGCTAGAAAGAAGCTTCTGGCACGGCTGCTGGACGTGGGACAGTTGCAACAGCTGTCCCTGCAAGCACGGTTTTGGGGTACATGGCAAGAACTTTGCACCGGCACGCACGATACCCGCCCGGAAACCAAATCCCAAAGCAAGACCCCTCCCTCCCACCCAGTGGAAAGGCAGCATCGTGGCTTGGGCACTCACCGGTGCTGCTCGAGGGTCTCGTTGTCCGGCAGCTCTGCCCCGCACACGCTGCACTGCTCACCCAGGGCTCTGCTCTCCGTCTTCATGCCGGCCGCCAGCTCCCCCAGCTTGCTGAACAGCTCCCGCTGGATGAAGCCCTGGGGCAGCAGCCCCCCATAGGCACTGAAGTCCATGGAGACGGCCAGGGCCGGCTGCACGTGCAGGGCGGACGCCACGGCGGGCGGCACGCCGAGCACCGGCTCAGTCTTGTGGTTCGGCAGCAGGGAGTAGATGCCCAGTGGCTTCTCGCCCTGGGCGGCAGCGGATGGCTCTGGCCCCATCGGCAGCCCCTGGCCGGGCTCGGGTGGCAGCTCAGTGCCCTCCTCACGGGCATAGTGCAGTTCCCGGGCACTGGTGATGACGCTGCTGCGGGTCGGGGTGCCAGGCCCGTCCTTGCCCTTCTCATCGGGCTTCTCCCCACCGGAGGCACCGGGCTCGGGCGCCCGGGGGCTGTCACGGCCGGAGGTGTCGTCCACCTGCATCGCTTCGGTTTTGGCCTCGGTGAGGCCGGGGGGGCGGCGGGCGGCTGCGGGGTGCGAGTCCTCGGGGCCAGCGGGCGGCAGCGTGCCCTGCAGCAGAGACTGCCCAATGGTCATCAGGCTGTCCACCGCCGCCTTGGTGGGGCTCATGGCCGAGAGGGGGCCGAAGGAAGCCGAGGCAGTGGGGCTCTGCTCCGATGCAGCCACCGGCAGGCTCTGGCCGGCCACCCCAGCATAGCCACTGTCTTCGCTGGCAGGCTTGGAGATGAAGAGGCCCTTGATGTACCTCGATTTCCTCTCCTCCTCTTCCTCGGTGGCGGTGCCTCCATCGGCAGCGGCGCCCTCGGTGTCATTGTCCTCAGAGGCCTGGATGGTCTCCAGGATCTTCAGGCACTGCTCCTCCAGGTACTCAATCTCCAGGATCTCAGCGGCGTAGAGCAGGTCGTCCAAGTCTTCGACCTTGGCCTGCAGGGTGGCGGTGTAGGCGTACTCCAGGATCTGCTGGAACGTCTTTGGCGAGAGGAAGTCCAGGGTGTAGTGCTGGCTGTTGCGGTGGAAGAGGATCTCGAACATCTTGCTGGTGCAGGCCAGCACCGTCCGGTGCGCATGGAACTCCTGGCTGTCCACCATGATGACCACGTCGCACAGCGTCCCCGCCAGGCGCATCTGGTTGGCTTTGTGCAGCAGCCCGGTGGGGTGGCAGGGGTTCTGCAGCTGGATCGTGCCCATCTTAGTCACATCCATGGCGCGCCCGGGGCTCGCTCATCAGGGTGCCTCGCCGGCGGCCGAATGCGGGACCAGCTTTGTGTGCCGGCTATCTGCGGAAACAAAAGGCGGAGGGGGAAAGGAGCGGGAGGGAGGGACGGGAGGGAAGGGGGACAAGAGGAGCACCGGGGGGGAGCGGGGAGCAGAGGGGGGGCCGTTAGCTCGCAGCCGGCAGCGACTCGCCGCAAACTTTCTCGCCGGGCTCGGGGAGCGGCGGCCCCGCCGCTGCCGCCCGCGGACCGGGCGCAGCCTCCGCCGCCTCCCGCGCGCCCCGTCCGCTCCGCTCCGTTCGCGCTCAGCCCAGCCCGCCCCGTCCCATCCCGTCCCGTCCCGCCCGCGCAGCCCCATCAGGTGCACGGCGGGTGCCGGTGCCCGGGGGGGGGTCCCGCACTCACGGCGGCCGGCGGCTGCTCCGGCAGTTCGCACTGCCCGCTCTCATCGCCGCCGCCGCCGCTCGCCGCGCCGCGCAGCAAATCACGGCGGCGCCGGCCCACGGGCCGCCCCGGCACCACGTCAGGCGGCCCCCGCCCCCCGCCGCCCCCCCGCGGCCGCCGCCCGCTCCTGCGTGCGGGCGCCCCCCCCCGGCCCCGCCCCGCCCCGCACACCGGCACCTTGCGGGGCGGCACCGGGCCGGGCGGCGGCTGGACAGCGCTGCCCACAACAAACATGGAGGAGCCGCCGCCGCCGCCCGGGAGCGGAGCCGAGCAGCGAGGCTGCCCCCGGGCCCCCGCCACGAGAGACAAAAGCGGCCGCGGGGGGAACCGGGGCTCGGGCACGGCCCCATCGGGTCTCGTCGATCGCCGCGGTGAGGGCTCGGCTGAGCACAAGTCACCCCAATGGGGCGCGTTCTGCCCTGACCCGGTGCGTACCCCACGTCAGCATCACCCGCGTGCAGGGTTCCCGCACCCCGGGTGGGAGATGGGCAAAGACCGGCAACAGCAGCTCCCAAAGGGAGCAAAACAATGGGAAGGGAACGCTGCGCACACTGCCACGCTGCCAGCGTCCACAAAACACCATGAGATGCCCTGTGCCAGGAGCTCGTCACCCCAACAAGGCACATTCAGCCCAGATGAAACGGGTACCCTGCACTGATGTAGTGTTCCCACAGGTTCCCACACCCCAGGTCAGGCAGCAGAGGTCCAGCAGCAAAAACTGGCTATGACAGCCCAGCAAAGGGAGCAGAACAACGGGAAGGGTAATGCCAGCCACAACACCATGCTGCCAACAAATGCCCCATGCCAAGGGGAGCACTCAAGCACCTGAACCCCCACATCACCCTTAGGGATGCAGCGACACAGACCTCTTCCTCTCTCCCTGCCCAGCAACACCATGGCTCAACACAGCCAGCGCCAGGCCCAGCGTCATCAGCTAAAACAACAACTACGGACGGTATTAGTACAAAGATCCCCTTGGGGTAAAGCAGCGCAAATGTAATCTAAGGAGAACGTTATGGGGAAGTGTGTTTATAATTATAATGGGATTTAATGTACTTTGGGAGCAGATGATAGCAGTCATTTAACGAGAACAGCCTAATAACGGCAGCCCCACCACGGAAGGCGGCGCTGCTGGGGCTATTAGATGCTCGTGCTGTGCACTAGGGGAGGCAGCAGCTACCCCTGTTTTTGGGGGGTTATAACTCGCTGATGTAATTGGCAAGAGCAGGGATGCGGTGAGCGTTCAGGCAGCGCTTCTTGGGCTGGGAATTGCCTCAAACTGCTCGAATTCCTTCCCCTCCCTCAGTTCTAAATAGGAGCAATAGGGGAAGGGGGGGGATAGCGAGGCAATGCCGGTTCAGGTGGTTGTTTACCCTTCTCCAACTTCTGAAAGGCTCCATTTCAGGGCTGGGATTTTGCAGGTGGTTAGGGGTACATTTTGAGCGTAGCTCGCATGAAATTAAGCTGCGTGAGTCCCATTAGCAATAATGGAAATCCCACGGCTAAATTCCCAGGCAGCATCCTGAAAATTAACCCCCCAGCCCTCCCTGTCAACTGGTGCATTGCACTTTTTGTTCCTCCTCTAACACATACAGTAAAAACTACTGGGCTGGTTAAGAGACTGAATTCCCGCAGTGGCACTGGACAGCATGTCTGCCCCAAGCAGGGAACACCAGGCTGCAGCATTCCCAAATCTTGCCCCAAGTTCTCTGTGTGCCGGTGCCTTTGGAGACCTCTCTGGACAGCAGAGGATTTGGAGGTGAGGCTGTTTTGCTTTGAGAGGTCAACAATACAGCAGAGCTGGTCACGTGTGGCAGCCAAAGCCAAAGGGATCCCCATTCTCTCAGGGCTTTCCTCCCTTGCCCACCTCCATTTCCCAATGGGCTGCACCACAGCTGGCTCTGGAAGCCCCTGAGCTCCCCAGAGCACCACAAGGCTCTTCCCCCGACCCCTCTGCCCAGCCCATGCTGGCTCTGCCAATGCTCAAGTCCAGTGTATCCCCAAACTTATACAGTGCCCTGCAAACCCATGCACACACAGACCTGGGAGATCTCTCTCTGGGAAGACAGCACTGATCATAACACATGTAAACCAGGAAAAAGCCCAGAACTCTCGCCCATGACCTCAACTCTCAGCCCCTTATCCCCAGCAGTGCCCCACTCCTCCCTGCAGAGCCTCAGCAGGGTCATTCCCACACCCCGGCACAGGAGTTAATCCCTCATCGCCCCCCCCCAGCACCTTCCATTTCCCTCCATCTCTCCTCATCAGTTTCCAATTTATTTACTTTTCTGATGTTAATCCCCACCTTGTAGTGTAACTTGTTTATTAGAAAGGAACCGGCACGTTAAATGAAGCCAAGCTGGGCTCTCGTGTTAAATAGCAGTCACGCCCAAGTGCCTCTCCATGTGCCATTACTCCAAGTGATTGAGGCAATTTCTTCCTCCGCCACGAGTTTCAGTTGTAAATCTCTCAACCAGATACGGGGGCAATGATGTGCTGCCTGGTGCGATTATTATTAACCTCCAGCATTAAACTCGGGAGACGTCCGTGCTTTCCCGGAAGGTCTTCCCTGCGAGGACCAGGCAGAGCACAGGCACCGTTCCTGGAACCTACAGAGCCCTGCACATTCCCTTCTCCCTCCCAACCCTTCCTCCTTTTGGACAGGGAGATGCCAACATCCACTTTCCCAACAGGATAGCCTGGCAAGGATGCGCAGACCCACGGGAAGGAAAGCTCCACAAAGCACGGATGGGACAAAGCAATGACCCATAAGTACTCCAAGAGACAGGGGCAGCTTCAGGATGTGCCAGGCACACAGGAGGAGGAGAAGGAGTAAACAGAAGAACCTCCAGGATCACAAGAAAGGAAACTCCTTGATCAGGATGCTCAGACCACAAAAAGCCGTCACAGGAGATGGCTTCAGAAAGAAGGTCCCCAAGCTTGGTGGGCCCCAACTCCAGTTGCCCCCCCCAGCTCTTCCCCCTGGGCCTCTTCTTGTGAGACCTGACTTGTGAGGGCAGAGGGCAAGAGCACAGTGACTTTCCCATGTCACAACCATACATGTTCCTAGCTTTGCTTCAATGTACTGGGAGGGTTTTCCAGTCTTGCTGGACTGGAGCTGAACCATGAAATACCGGTGCAGGGATTCATGCACCACACACAACATCAGATCAGTTTTAACCCCAGTCAACAACCCACCGCTCTTAAACCCTGACTTTGGATATCACTCCAGACACTGACAGTTCGCAGCATCCCAACCCTTGCGTGCGCACCGGACCTGGAACTCTCCCGGCACTTTATCCCTGCTCAGAGCCGGAGCCGTGCCTGGCTTTCACACACGGTGAGCTGTCAGCTTAGGAAAAGATGATTGAATGCGTCAGACTTTGCTTCCAAGCCCCCGGCCCAAGGGCACAAAGCTGATGGGCCAGGGCAGGAAGGCTGTGCAGCGTGCGGCCACGGCGCGTTAAGCTTCCTGCGAACCCCATTGATCCGCTCCGGGAGCCACACGGACCCTGCACCCGGGCACATTGTGGCGGCACGGGGGAGCAGAGGAGCCGGGAACAGGCTCCTTATTGTGCCCCCGCTGAACAAAGGGAACCTGAGAGCTGCTGCGAGGATGCAGCTGGTTCTGCCGTGGGGCACAAGCTCTGCGCTCTCCTGCAGTTGATGCCAGAGGAGACCCTGCAGGAGCTCTCCCAGTGCCACAGGAGAGGTGAACATGTAAATCCAGTAACTGAGACGGAGCAGACTGGACACACATGGACTGTTGCACTGCAGAAACCATTGTCCACCCTGCCCCATGGGCCTGCCTCTTCCCTACAACCTACCAGCCCTGGCTTGGCAAGGGATAGGGTCTGGCCAGTGCTGGAGCACACAACAAAAGCAGGGCAGCAGCAACAAGGGTAACAGCATCACCGACCTTGTGACCCACGCAGCCTGGCAGTCATGAATCATGGAATGGTTTGGGCTGGAAGCAACCTTAAATCTCATCCAGTTCCAACCCCTGTCACAGGCAGGACATCTTCCAGTAGACCAGGTTGCTCCAAGCCCCATCTAACATGGCCTTGCATCACTGCACACATCTGTGTGTCTCTGCCAGGCTGAACAGGGCTGCTGCATGCATGTGTCTGCGCTTCCCAGCTGTAAAAATCCTCCCTTTAAGCCAGGCTCCTTTAAGGGATACAGCATCTGAGCAGTAAATGGGGAGCACTAAAACAATACACTGCTTCAAGTTACAACTTTGCTCATGTGTGCAGTGGCTCCTGCCTGTACATTTGTGCTGCGGTGGGGACAACTGGACTTGAACACAACTACATCGATGCCATCACATCAAAGGAGCAGGCAGCATCCCTCCATCCCTCCCGGACACCAGGGGCCAGGCTGTGATGCACACAACACCGGTGAAAGCAGATCCAATGGGTTCCTAGGAGCGCTCCCTCCATCCCCCCGGCTTTGTGCGGGCGATAGATGCCACACAGCCCCCGAGACAACGGGGCTAATTAGCAGCTTAGGGCCCCGAGCCTGCGAGGCCGGCGGATGAGTGGGAGCTGTGACTCAGGAGGGCGGCAGCCCGGGCCAGCCTTCCCGCATTCCTGCCCTAAATCCCCCACACAAAAGGGAATTTAGCCACAGTGACTCAGCGAAGGAGCACAAACTTTACAGCCGGTCCCGAGCTCCGTGTTCCTGTATCCCCCCCCAGCACCGTGCTGCTGGCTCGGTAATTAAATAAAACCGTCTCCCTCTAGCAGGCTCTGACCTAATCATTTGCACAGCACCTATTTTTAGCGTTACCCTTTGTACGTATGTGAGCAAGCCCCAGCCAGAGGCAGCAACTTTTGAAGTCCTAACGAGCGGGAGGGGGTCTCCTTTGTGTCATTTACTGTGTGATTATTTCTCCTCCTTCCCCCTGTCTCTCAGCCTAAAATATTTGCCATCATGCACGGGACGAGGAGCGGGATGTGCCACGGCGTTAAATGTCAGCCCCATCCGCACAGCGCCGAGGCGACGGCTGCGGGCTCGGTAAAGTTCATCCCGGAATGAAGCCCTTTGAGGATCTGCACCGGGCCCACCGGGATGGGGGATGCTCTGACATGGTGCCTTTTCCACTTGTGGCCTGATTTCTCTCCATCCCCCTAAACCGGCTGTTGGTTCTCTGCAGGATTAACTCAGTGCTGGCAAAGGAGACAGTTTCAGTGCTGGGCAGTCCTCCTGCAGCAGGGTGCAGGGGTGCACCTCCACCCAGGCCCTTCCTCCTGCAGGAGGATGGTGCCCAAGTTCAGGCACTAACAAGAGCTGGGAGTTAAACCCCCATTTGGTGCTTTTCTGATTAACGTGTCGTTAGTCTATTGCTGAAAGCTCTTCCTGCCTTGAAACAGGACAGTTTCCAAGAGCCCCTGAGTGACTCTGGAGTTTCAAAACCCAAAGTCACTTAGGACCACAAGTGGCATAAGCCATCCCATGGGAAGCAGCCAGTTCCCATGCCTTCATGATAATCAAGTCCATTCACTGGAGGAAGCAAGCCAAATCCTGAATTCCAATCACTGAGCGAACACCTTTACCCCTGATTTCATCTTTCCTTTCCAGCAAGTGCAAGCCCCATGTCCCATTTCCAGTTGCATGAGTCACCTGTTCCCCTTTCCAAAGGGAAACTATATATAT